TTAATAAAAATAAAATTAGTGTCAACAAATGGAAAAAAAAAAGATAATATTTTTTATATTGAACTTAAATTCAAACTGGACATCATTAACAATTTTTAACCACGAAATAATATTTTTTAATTTGTTTGATTTCTAAAAATTATTTAACCACAAGTCACGTAGTTTGTTATTAAAATATAACCGAAAAATGATAAGTGATAACAGTTGTGAGCATGTGAACAAAAACAATAGTCCCTTCTTTTTTTGTCACATAAGAGTCCCTTTATTAATTGATTAAAAGGCAGTACTAGGTTATATCAATAGAACAAAGAGAGGCAAACGAAGCAACATAACACCAACCACAAAACATGTGTTTATTTCCATTTTCTCATCTCTGGTTCAACACAGTCCAAAGAGCAAAAAACAATTCTAGTAGTCCATTGGTTGTTGTAGAAAACCCATGTCCTCCATCTTTTGTAGCCTTCGTAGTATGTGGAACTTGTACAACGATTGTTACATATATAGCAAAACTGTCGAGTGTTACTATTGTTGTGAAAAACTTTCACCATTCCACCTCGGTGAGAAAATATGGAACGAGGTTTCATAAAAACAGAGGATCCAAATATGCATCCAAGGTGGATAGTGATGCAACATTTGTTGCATGTGTAGAACCATTCCGTTGGATCTAATTGCTTTTCACACACCTCGAACCAATATATGCCATTCGCCCTAATCTCTCCATAGGAAAGAGTGAGAAGATGCTTATCATACTTGAAGTGTAATTCATTTGGAATGGTAGCACATGGGTAACACAGAGCAAATTCGCATACCGCAAATCGTAAGTGAGACCCCGAACAACTTTTCTTGCAACCTTTACATAGGTTCTCGTTGTTGCTTCTATAGGATGTTGAGATGAAAACAGTACGGTCATGACTTTTATGGGTGAAATACTCGGGAACTAAAATGCATCGAACATCTAGCAGAAAGTTTACTCCGCTTTGGCAATCATTTTTAGAGCATCTATACCTAAAACCAGTGGATGCTCGGAAACAGGCTGAACAATACATGGATGAGTAGTGGTTTAGGGGAGATGGATCCAAGAAAAGTGTGTGATTGTGCAATGCATGATCCAACTTCCGAGAAAGACCAGCACATACCTCGTGGAGAGAGTAATTGCATTTCTTGCAATGATAGAATTGATGAGAGACGATTGGTAATATACACGCTCGGCATTGCTTCTCAGTGTCTCGAACGCCATCGTGCTTCTTGAGCTTCAAACGATGCTTGTGACCAAAATGCTTTATGAAATCATCACCTAGCTTCCTGAATGACGCAACATCTTCGGTTTCATTGGTTTCTTCTGGTTGCCATTCGAGTTCCAATCCATCCCATACATTTACATGTGTTGCACACTTAGAATGAACTACATAAGAACAATCTTCGTGGTTGCAAGAATATTGCCCATATATAAAGTCAACATCTCTGTAGCAAATCCGGCATGAGGAAATCAGAGGTGATCGGTAAGGAATATGAGAGAGACGGTGTGGGTGACGTGTGATCTTGATAACCCGAGGTAAGTCGATACAATCCTGATGGACCATGTAATTACATTGGAAACAAGCATAACTTGGTACTGACGTGTCGACCAACCCACAAGCATCACATGGAAGTAACAATGGCCGAGGTAAGAAGAGGAGTGAGTGGTGATGGCTTTTTGGGTTTGGAATAGCAAGAGGTGGAATAATTTCCGCACAAGGGAGATCCAAACAAAAGCCACATATCAAGCAACGGTAGAACCAATCACTACCTTGGAAATCTTTTCCACGCCAAGTGCATTTATCGAATGCGATATCAGATTCAGAAGGAATAATATCGACAAACTCAGGCTTCCCTCGATCTGATGTGTCGGATTCTAGATCACATGTTTCAGGTTCACAAGGGTTGAAGTCAGGGATGATGTTTCAAGATTTCGATGGAAGAGTGTGAGAGGATGTTGGAGATGATAAGGATGTGTTATCCTTCTCGGACGTTGATGAAAACCATTGTGGAAGTCCACACGGCAAGTGGTGCAGTGGAACTGGACATAATCTTGCGGCCTCACAGTATATTTTCCGCCGCAAGTAAAGCAGCCGAGACGAATAACAGGGTCGACCCGAATGGATAGGTTATGAGGAGGGTGAGTTGGAGGAGACACAAGGCATCTTGGTCTTTCTTCATCATCCATTTCTTTACTGGTTTGGTTGTG